TTATGGATATCTTTTTCAAATGAAATTCTCGACTTAACTTTGACCCCTAAAAATTAGTATAAATTCTTCTAACCGTTTCCCATATATTTCATTTAATTTCAGTTCTGAGAATTTGGAGTTAGATCAAGACAGTATCTCTTAGGCCGACAATTTTTTTTGCTTTTCTTTTCATCGGCCTGTTTCACGCTCTGTTGTTATTGAAAGGCATAATAAACGGTTGAGCTATTTAGCAATAAACTATGAATGTAAAAACAAGATGTATAGTAGATGTAGAAAACTCAGTTTCGTTTAATTATGAGCACCGTAATACTTGAATCTGATGGATGAACGATAACTTTTTTAGGAATGATACACAGTCAAATTAATTTTTATTGCACTGCATGTTGTTCACTTTGAAGCTTACTTTGTAAAATACGTAAGATACCACGTGCGCTCTCATTGGTCGATAGGTGTGTTTGGATGAGAGTATGTATTCACGGTTGTGGCGTTTGAGATTCGTGCGTATTTTCTAGAAATATTTTGTAAAATCAATAAAAAAATTTCTCCGTGTTTAGATAGCCTCATCTAAACACTTGGGGGCTGGGAGAATTCTCGAAAGTTATGCAAACCCTCGACTACGTGTCTCAGCTTTGTACAACTGTCTCGAATTCTCCAACCCCCTCGCGTTAAGATGAGGCTATGCAAACACGCAATAAGTCTTCTATAGCTTAAATATAATGCCATATTTTGAAAATTCAAGGGCTTTCTTCAGAAGGATAAAAAGTACCCAGTCGCCCGCGTTTTTCCTTATGGTGGTTACAAAATAAAATCAGCGGGCAAGAAGGATGTTGATTCTCGATTGGAAGCTGAAAATATCGCACTCGAAAGTCTGCCTGATGAAACAAACAGGGTTAAAACAATGGAGGAGTTACAGCAGTGTGTAAGGCGAGGATACGAAGCTCAACCTTTACAAATGCCTGTCGTGCTACTAACAGGTAATTTCAATTCCAGTTTGAGAGTTATATATATTCGAAAAATAAGAGCC